GCACGTTGTTGAAGGATACCGTGTGCCAGACGACCTCGGCTATTTCGGAAGTTAGTACTGCATAAAATCAGCCTGTGACCAGCACTCAGCCAAAGCAGTCGTTCACCATTATGCGTGCATACTGAGTCCAGTTCTTGTCGACCACCTAATTAAGTCTCAGATGCGCTAAGCCTGTCCACTTTTGCGTTCAGATCTCCAGTGGCCACAACGATATATGAGCTTTTGGCTCGCCGCAAAGTGAAATTCTGGGCCTCATAAAAGTTCTATTTGATGGTGTCAGAGCTACAGATAGTAAGCAAACACGAAAAACGGACATCAGTTAACTTCTCTCTTGTTAGACTTCTTCACAGGCGTTGCCAGACGAACTTCGAAGAAGCGCCTACTAATAGGTATCCAGTCAATCAAAGGTGCTTCTGCTCGGTGACTTATAACGATACCAGTCCATTCACATCCTGCCTCAGCAACATCTGGATCGCCAAATGTGCACAGCCGGAAGCGAGTGGATAGTGATGAGGCGGTTATCTCAACCATTGTGCTAGCGTCTTTGATTATTGTTTCGGAGACACAGTACACGTAAATACCAAGCGCGTCCAGTATGAGAGCAAGAGCAGCCTGGTGTTCTGCTTGCTCCAGATTGAGGACATTGAAGGCGGTCAGACAGATTGGGTGTTTAGCTTTGAATACTGATTTCGAGATGCCTGATGATGTCGGTGCTGGATGACGCGCGGATGTTGCTTTCAAAACAGTTACAAGACGAACGGAGTTATCAGCCTTGAGCACCGCCCTACAAGAAAAGAGTTACTAATAGGGTATGGAGAGGGGTGAGAAAAACTGTGAAGAAGAAAGAAGGGGACGTCAGTAGTAGCCCGTTTCTGCCTACCCACCCTGCTCTATGCAGTGAGTTAGGCGACCCGGCTGATGGCACCACGCAACGGCCGATGTGGCATTAGAGTATTGTTAGTTGTAAGTGTCATGGTTGTACGTGGGATGGGCGCCCGCACCTAGAAGAGAGGACGATTAGGGTCCTGACCCGAAGCCTTTGGTTTAAACAGAAGCGGTATTTGGCAGGAAATGCAACTGTATTGCCATTTTTATGGAACATATCGCCACACATATTGGAACCCCCAAGCTGGAGGACCGGGAGACTTTGTTCGTCAGACCCTCAACCGTTGGCCAACCCGGTATGACAGACTCTGCGAGTGTGGTCACCCCCAAGTGTGGCTCAATGAGTCGCCGAAGTACGCAAACCGTCACACTACGGTAAGGTTCAGTCTCTTTACCTCCTATGACCGAACCTTGTTGGAAGCCATATCGTTGGACCTTTGGCCGGATGCCTATACTATGCACTACTTACTTTCCATCGCTAACACGAAATTCTGTCTCGACAGGCGACATATCGCTTTAAAGGTATTCCCACACAACAACCACTGTCGCCTACACGAACGCGCTGTCGTTAGCCGGAGGACTGCTCGAAAAATGCACGTGACACGAGTGATGTAAGAACGGACGTAGTCACACGTTAGGTTTGGATGGTCACACTGTACTGACTCCATCGACGACCAAATATCCGTAAGATCCGAATGTCGGACTGATATACTAGCATCAACTGGCTTCAATACTAATAGCCTTCATCCCATCCCTCCCGCTGACAGAGGTGCGGTGTAACGTAAAGCATCTGATGCTAACAACAGCAACCAAACGTAACAGGTAGCTGCCCCCTAGACGACGACAACCTGATGACTACAAAGCAAACGATAAACGGAAAGTACAAGACCTTCACCGCTCCTCTTTCCTGTCCGGACAGCGAGGCAATGAGTCCGTGGTTAAATGATGCCTAAAATGTGGAAAACAAAGTGGGAACAGAAGACTACTTGTTCTGCGGTGTCAATATGAATCCTATGAATGTCATTTCTGAATCATGCATCAGGTTAACCCAAACTGCCTACGGTGCGGATAGGGAAATTTTACATACTTAGTCCATGAAATTGAACACATGGAGCAGGAACTCAAACACTATCTCGAACTCACCAGCAACCCTTGGGCTGTAGTAGGTAGGCTGATCCAAGAATAAAAGGATTTGTTGAACCTCACCCAAACTACCTGAGAGAAAGGGCAAGCAACCATATAATAATAGGATCGGAGCTCAACTGGAGCTCTCTCAGGTACAGCCGTCAACCTTGAAGGACGCCCTCTATCAATGGAGGGAAGTCATCCAGTAAGAAAGCTTCCATAGGATTTCAAATGGTCTAAAACTTCCACTTTATGAAGGAACAGAAAGCTATATCTTATCGTCAGTCTGCTAATAGTAAGCGAGCTACTAATACACATCCCTTTCAACAATTGAGTGCTGGTTTTAATGAGGCCGAAATCCATGGAGAGCAGTGTGACCACCTTCGACGAGCTATGCAGGTCTAAGTTGTTAATTCTACCTTGAAACTAACAGTTCTGATAATAAAGATACTCCAGTGAACTCGTGCTCGGGTCACAGTTTATGTGCTATCAGTGGTTTTCGCCATCCGAGCCGTTACAAAACCGCATAATGCCCAACTGAACTCGTCCATTCATGAACAGGTTTATCATGTTGTCATCAATTACAGATTTCCATGCCCACCAAAATTTCTGTAACTTTTATTGGGCACATAACCGCCGACTCCGAACCAATGTAGGTGAATTATTTGATCCAACGGACTTTTTAGCTCTCAGGACGGGATCAGCGCACGCTTTGATTTCGCAAATCACACAGGGGAAAGTTGCGAACATTCGCACCATACAGTTCTTGCTAAATCATAAAGCGTGCTAACACCCAACCTCTGTTGGATCTGAGTTGATTGATCTGCGGCTCCAGTTATCCGTAGACAATGAGCGCTTAGTACTATTAGTTATCACTTTCGGTAGCCCCTATGCTAGTTCTGAACTGTAGTGCTTTGGACGCACTTTGGAGTCTGCTGCTACCCCTTGGAACGTTCGGAAGCTCTCCCAACTTTTCAATACCACCGGTTCTAGCCGAAAAAGTATTACCGAGTGTTGTATATCTGCTCTGTTTTTCAAATGTTTCATCGTTTATTGCCAAATCACTTTCTTCCGTTTTCAGCTCTCAGTGTCAAAGTTTTGGGCGAATAAAGCCTACCTTTCGGGCCTTCAGTCTTTTCCATTGTCATTCTGATTGTCGTTGAACTCCATCCTTCGTTGTACACAACAATTTATTCATCCAAAAAGTTTTCTTTGAACAACGGATCGATTCTTACGTCCTGAAAGATTCAATACCGACCCCAATACTCAAGACTCGGCAGATACCTGGGAGCATTGGTTTTGTACTTTCAGAAACTAGAATCAATTGGTTCTCATTCACCAGATAAACTGAAAACCTTGTTAAATTGCGCCTCCCCTAGTGCCTACCGATTCACCAGAGACTACAAAGATTATGAATCAGCCATCGAAACCTTGCGAGAAATTTACATACAGCCGAAAAAAGAAGTTTTTGCCCGGCATCTTTTAAACACTTGTAAACAGGATGGAGCTCAGAACCTTGATCAGTTTGTGCAGAAGCTTCGCAGTTTATTGGCAGACTGCCGCTTTACAACCGTCAGTGCAGAACAGCATACCGATGAAACGTTACGAGACGCATTTATTAGTGGACTTTATTCCAACAATATACGCCAGAGACTGCTGGAACATAAGTCGCTGGATTTTAAAACCACATACAACCATGCAAAGTCCCTCGAACTAGCGCAAAACAGTCGTCGTCGTTTTTGCCGAACACTCAACTCCCCTTTGCTACCGTATCGAACAACCCGTCAAAGTCTCCATGTTCTCAAACGTCATCGCATGAGCAGGCGACTGCTGGTAGTGTGGGGTCTTCATGTTTCTTCTGTGGATATGATCGTTACCTGAGGTATAAATGCCCCTCTAAAGATGCGACCCACAAAACTGTGGGGAGAAAGGATATTTTCAAAAGGTTTGCAGATCTACTGGTCCGCGGAACACCTCATCTGTTTCGAGTGCGCTATATTCCGTCACTGCAGCGGCTCCCGAGTGTCTAAAAGAAGTAGTCACCGATGTGAAAGCCAATGGTGTCCCACTTCGAGCTTTTGTTGATACTTTTAGCTCAGAAAGTTTCACTTCTGAAAAGGTAGTCCGTCGTAACAAGTGGTCTGTAATGCCATCGTCATCTGAGATGGATTTGGCATCTGTCCAGCACAAAAGCTTTACTCTTGGATATTGCTTTTTAACGTTGCAACATAAACAAAACAAGTATCCCTCTTTCAAGTTTTCAGTATTACGTGACCTCTGTGCAGATATTCTGCTAGGACATGACTTTCTTAGGCTTCACAAATCCCTGGAAATCTCATTCAACGGTGACAAACCTTTTTCTCTTTGCGGCTGATTACTGCCAACATTGAACCTCGCACTTTGTTCGAGCATACTGATCGAAGGTGTAAGCCAATCGCCATAAAGTCCAGGCGACATTCTGCAGACATTGCTTCTTAAGTAAAGCGTTTACTCGACCAACAAATCACTGAACCCTCGAAGTCCACATGGAGAGCGCAAGTGCTCGTCGCGACAAATGAACGACAGAAGAAGCGAATGGTGGTTGACTATAGTCATACTATAGACCGATTTACGCAACTAGGCGCTTATCTATTCTCCAGACTTGAAGATTTAAGTACCAAAAGAGCTCAATATCGTATTTTCAGCACGCTTGATCTTGAAAGTGCGTATTATCAAATATCCATTAAAGAAAGCGACAGAATCTACACGGTTTTTGAGGCTTGCAACAATCTCTATCCGTTCCGCCGAATATCCTTCGGAGTAACGAATGGGGTAGCCTTTTTTCAAAGGGTAATGGATGACATAATACCCGCCGAAAAACTTACCGGGACATATGCGTATGTGGATAATGTCACCATCTGTGGGAAGAATCAAGAAGAACACGATCAAAACCTCCAGCTTTTCCTCACCGTAGCACACAAGTATGGCTTTCAGTTAAATCACGATAAAAGCACGACTTCCACCACTAAGCTCAGACTCCTCGGCTATGAAATTACTGAAGGTATCGTCAAATCAGACCCTGAATGCCTCAAGGTGTTGCAAGAGCTGCCCGTTCCGAAGGACACCAAGTATCAACAACGAGTGATAGGCTTGTTCGCGTACTGTTCTCGTTGTATAAACCGTTTCTCGGATAAGATCTACCCAATCACTCACACTACAATATTTCCTGTCCCTGAATCTGTTATGAAAGCATTTGAAAGTTTGAAAAAGGAGTTGATGGATTCAGCCTTGGTCACTATCGATCCGAGAATACCTTTGGTACTCGAAACTGATGCATCTGATGTCGCGATTTCTGCTACACTCAATCAAGATGGCAGACCGGTCGCATTCTTCTCACGTACACTGTCTGCCAGCGAAAAATACCATTCCACTCTTGAGAAAGAAGCGTACGCAATTGTCGAAGTAGTGCGCAAATGGAGGCATTACCTAATCGGGACCCATTCCAAAATTATAACTCATCAGCGGTCCGTCGCGTACATGTATTCAATGCAACAAAAAGGGAAAATAAAAAATGACAAAATCCAACGATGGAGTTATCGCCATTTTCTTTTGACGTTACCTACAGGCCAGGCGTAGAAAACAAAGCTGCTGACACGCTCTCTCGGAGTGTCTGTGCGAACACTTCATCTCACCTGGATCTGAAACGCTTACACGCAATCCTGTGTCATCCTGGAGCAACACGCATGATGCATTTCGTTCGTGCCAAGAATCTCCCATTCTCCCTGGAGGACATCCGACTCGTCATTAAGCAGTGTCGTGTGTGCGGAGTTAAAACCACGTTTCTTCAAGTCATCTGGTGGTGCCCTCATTAAAGCCACATAAACCTTTGAACGTTTAAGCATTGACTTTAAGGGACCACTGCCTTCTACGACTCGAAACAAATATCTACTGACGATGGTAGACGAATATTCCCGTTTTCCGTTCGCCTATGCTTGTCCAGATATCAGTTCGTCTACGGTGATATCATACCTTGTGCCACCGTTCGCCACATTTGACCTGCCAAGTTTCGTGCATTCGGATCGTGGCTCATCATGATACATTTCGGATGAGATCAAACGATTTCTTCATGAAAACGGTGTAGCCACCGGTCGGACCACTCCATATCACCCAAGGGCAAACGGTCAGGTGGGAAGACTAAATGGAACCTTGTGGAAAGCTACCACCAATGCTACTCCACACGAGCGGATGTTTCATCACAATCGAAAATCCGCAGTCGGTACGTCCTTGCCGCAGTGGTTGCTTTCACCAGGACCAGTTCTGATGCGGCGAAACATACGATCTCCAAAGTACGACCCCCTAGTTGAAGAGGTTGAGCCACTGGAATGTAACCCTGAGTACGCATGTGTCAGACACCCTAACGGCATGGAAGAAACGGCCTCCCTACGTCACCTGGCGCCTTCATCAGATTTCGGACGCACTCCAGCATCCGAACATCAGCAACCGCAGTCAAATGCTGATTCATTTATTAAGCCGGAACTATCTGACTCTGCTTCTGAAAGTGAAATGTCCAATTCTTCTGAGCACCCATTGGTTGTACAACAACAGCGGACACGACCGTATGTCTTGCGCAACAGAGAGACCTGACATTATTCAATTATAAAGCAAACAACCCTTGAGAACTTTCATCTCTATGGGGGGGGGGGTGAATGTTGTATATTTGCTCTGTTTTTTCAAACGTTTCATCATTTATTGCTTAATCACTTTCTTCCGTTTCCAGCTTTCAGTGTCAAAGTTTTGGATGAATAAAGCCTAGCTTTCGGGCCCTCAGTCTTTTCCATTGTCATTCAGATTGTCGTTGCACTCCATCCCTCGTCGTACACAACACCGGGGCTATATCCTCATACTTCAATATGATTGTATGGTATAGTATCGTGCTTGATGTTGTGCAGCATTGTAGTTACCTTAATCTCTGTTCTTTCCTTTAATGAGCTGTGGCTTCTCAGTAAGTTCGCAGCCGCCCATTCTCTTTGCAATCTTTTTTTTCGTGGTTGTGTGACATTGAAGGTCAGCATTTATGAAGAATGACCCCCACAAATTCCATGACCATGCTAAAATAGCATCCTATGAACTCCAATAGGGAGTGCGCGAGGATTTTGCAACGTATGTTTTGTCTGTGACGGCTTTCATCTATCGCATCCTCATCCTAACCTTTCGTTCTCAAATCTGGAGCACCGGCCTGGAATGAATGGCTGGCTTTTAGTGCACTACAAATCTCAGGGGGTCGTACTGTGAGCCCAAGATAGTCTACCCCCAGAACCCAAGTTAAAGCAAACTTGAGACAAAACGCCGCTCGTTACTTCTATCCTGTAAACACAGAATCGCACACACAAGCACAATCGTAATTCGGTTAGCTAATGATCGGCCACGGAAACCAGCCCTAGTGCAACACTGATCCTAAACAAAGAGGTCTGGTTTGAGGCGTGATTGACATTTATCCGGTGACCCAGTAGACAACACAGTACCACATCAGAACGTCAGCAACACAGGCTTGTTCTTCCACACATCCATGACATGACATGAATAGTGGGTGACTGATGGTAACATCCCACCGGTTGGCCACACGGGGATTTTGCGAAGGGAGTTTCGGTCCTCATGCGACCATACTTAATGTCTTTTGTTCGGTTGAAGAAGCGTCCTGGATTTTTAGGGATAATTTTTCTAGGTTCGGGTGGCCTTACTGCATGTGCTACTCCCCGCGCCATCGGGTAAGATATCCGGCTACTATCAAGGGCTTGGTAGAGCTTCCCAGGGATATACAACCACCCTCCGTTAGGCGTGTTAGACTGTTCATTCAAAGAGTCCAATATTATACTCCATATGTTTGATTTAGGGGCTCAAGTTGAGCTATCAGTTTAACCCTGGTCTGCAGTCTGACCAACAGGTATCTGTTATCCTCTCTTGCGGATCTCCGTTCACCGACTTCCATCTAAAACTATGAAATAGCTGTTTCCATCTCAGTTGCTACATGCATGCACTAGTGTTCAGTAGAACAAACGATATTTGATGGGCTCGAGAGACCTGCTCCACGTCACGGCTGTCGTTCATATTTTATCAAATGGAGCGGAAGCATCTGTTGTTACCACCTTACTTCCGCATTCTACCAACGGGTTCCACCATACTCCTACTGGTTCATGCATTCAAAACCACTTAGGATGAACCCGGCTACTCCACCCTTCACTTTCCAACTGTACAACTGCTTCATCACCAGCTCTGAAGCCGCATACCCGTTGCACAGCAGTTATACGTATCGCAATTTCATTCGCATTGTGGAAATGGGGGTGGACAGATACGCCTTGGAGGCCGTAGCTTATACAATTGACGGTAATGACCAGTGCAGCTGAGTCTTGCTTAACGTCTCGGTTTTTCCGCCCTCTATATGTGTTCAAAAAGGAGCTCTCTGAGGGAGTCCGCTCACTGGAATATGAAGCAGTGATCAAGCCTGGGTAACCAATGGACTGTAACCATCTATCTTCTCCGAAAGCCACTCATAATCACTGATCCGATGTCCCCACCGGGCACTGGCAATACGCCGATGGCAACGATGTTAAACCAGCCTAGGCGCGTAGTGGCCAGTCGTCTGTTCCATATAGCTATATGGAGCCTACCGCAGCATTGCAGACTCGTCGTTGTTCAGTTGTGACACCCTTTCGGTACCTAGCCGCTATGCCACCCGAAGAAAGCAGATTGCGGAGATATTGTTAGTTTACCAAAGCCTAGGCAGGAACAGTCGAGGTGCTGAGGTTGGTTTGAACCATACACCTTTCCGTTAGTAAGTTCGCGCCTTAACAATCGGGCACCATCGAAAGCACTTGGTAAGTCTGAACAATCTGTATGAACTAGCATCCGGGTGACCGTATCCGAGGGCGCCCTGCACAAAACTATGAAGTCTATGGCTGATTATTCGGCGTTGAGTTATTGGCCGATAAGATCAGCATGCGGACCTTGTCTGTCCACATTGAATAGTTACGCGGATGTCCTTATTACGGACCGCGACCAAAGCTTCCCTTGTTAGAGTCGTTTGAAACACCCCCGAGCGTGGATATACTCCGACCACCATTGTAGCTGATACCAAACTAGTCTCAAAATATGGGTCTGATTAGCTTTATTTCTGTACCGTTTTGTTCGCAGGAGATGCCTTGCATCTAACCTGAATTCTTCTGGTGAAATCAGCCGCCTTGTTTTGTTGATGGTGTATCTGTCCCTCTTAGATCTTGTTGATGGTGTATCTGTCCCAAGTCTCTTAGATCACCCAATTATGCTTCTTTGTCAAAAAGCTTGATGGGTTTTCTGCTTTGAGTTTTCTCTAACTGGTATACCGTTCTCTCGAACTAGTGTTTCCGGCGTTTTTTTACTACCTTCGAAGAAATCATCCCCATTGGTTTAACACATTTTATTTTGACACCAACTGTCGAGACACCGAAGGCCTCATTGATTGATTCAATCAATGCTTTCACAATGATCTTTTGAGTAATTTGAGGTGACAATGCGCTTGAATGTCCGTTCCGTTTCCGTTCCAGATGAACACCTCGGAACGGAACGAAAACAAGGTTCCTTGGAGTGAGGTGAAAAAGCACACCTCAAAGTCAGATAGATGGATTGTCATTGAAAACAGCGTATACGATTTAACTCGATGGCAGAACCGTCATCCTGGTGGAAGAAAGATTATCGGACATTTCGAGGGTCAAGATGCAACTGTGAGTTAACGTTAATATCGTTTCATTCACTCTCCTTTCACAGGAAGCTTTCCGAGCATTTCACAAAAACCTGGAGGAAGTTAAAAAATATCTAAAACCACTCTATGTGGCCGAAGTTGATCAAAACAGTGTCGATCCAAAAGAGGCGGACCAATTAGCCAAACGCGCAACTTATGTTCAGGATTTTGAAGAACTTCGGAGAAAAATGCATGAACTGGTTAGTTCAACTGAAACCTGTACTTTTAACATATGGATGATGTAATTTGTTTATGCCTAAAAACGTATAGTGCACTTAGTCTTGTGCGGAGATATTCGGTCAATTTATCCCATGTTAGGTAGTCCAAGAATGTAATTTCTTCTAATGGCCAAAATTTGAAGTGTTGGTACCGTCTGGGATAGATTTACCGCATACGCATCGGCGAGTCACCTCTGCAGATAGCACCCTGGAGCAATATATGGAATATCTATCTGTCACTTTGCACGTGTTACGTTTTAGTCGGTCCAGTATTTTGGCGAGTTGTTTTCAGTGGCTGTGCATCTCGTCTGTTCGCCACAAAAGGTCACTTGTTTTCACTACGACTGCAAACGACAGCCTCAGCTGTATTGTCCCGCTTGGGACAAGACTGGTCATTGTTTGCTGATGAGTAGCTGCCTCCAGGGGGAAGCTTCAACCTATTTTGCTTATTTGCATTGATGCTTGTCTGAAAGGTCGACTGTAAGTAGTGATCAGGCCTCACCAGTGTCAGGGAGTATGTTATGAGGTGGTCAGTACAGAAACCAGCGTAGAATCTTTCAGGGAAACTGCCTTCTATGAAGGGTCAGACGGCTGTGTGTCCTGTAAGTGCACTCAAGGACCACCGTCAACACAAGTAGACCAGTCCCACTCGGTAGGCCATTCGTATCTCAATGTTACCACTACATCTCGAATCACACGGTCTCTGCTTTGCCTTCTTAAGAATGTGGCAGAGAAGGGGTACAGTGTGTTGACCGATGACTGACTGACTGATAACATCATGCACCAGACGTTTGCGTGCTTTGCGAAGCATTTTATTAGCGTAATTGCATTTTCAGAATGATCACGGCGAGTACAATGGTATGGTAAAACTTCACCAAGTTTGACACTCCTAACTGTATCCAGCCCTCTTCAAAGAAGGCGGAAAATCCCTGGTGACCCACCTGACAAACCTTATTGGTGCTATATGGGACAAAGAGAAAGTGCCTGCAGAATGGGGCACATCGACAGTTATTCCTATCTTTAAAAAGGGTAGGCGGACGCTATGTGAAAACCACCGTGGCATCAGCCTGTTAGCTGTGGCATCGAAGGTGCTCTCTGGCCTTATCCTTCGAAGGTTGACTGAACACAGGGAGAGGCA